CCACCACAGTCCTCAGAGAGTTGTTATCTCTCTCCCCCTTTCAGATGAGGACATGGAATTTTAAGGTGTTATTTATGTATAGCTACTGTCCTAGTTTGCTTTCTGTTGCTATGATAAAACACTGACCAAAACCAACTTGGGGAAGAAAGGGTTTATTTCAGCTTCTAAGTTATAGTCCATCATTTAGGGAAACCAAAGCAGGAACTCAAGGCAGGAACCTGGAGGCAGGAACTGAAGCAGAGACCACAGAGGCTTACTGGCTTGCTCCCCCTGTCTTGCTCACCTACTTTCTTTTTTCTTTTTCTTTTTCTTTTCTTTCTTTCTCCTTCCTTCCTTCCGCCCTCCCTCCCTTCCTTTCTTTCTTCTCTCCCTCCCTCCCTCCTTCCTTCCTTCCTTCCTTCCTTCCTTCCTTCCTTCCTTCCTTCCTTTCTTTCTTTCTTTTTCCTTTTTTTTTTTTTTTTGGACTTTTTTCAGACAGGGTCTCCCTGTATCCCCAGCTGTCCTGGAACTTGCTATGTAGACCAGGCTGTCCTGGAACTCACAGAGATCCACCTGCCTCTACCTCTCAAGTGCTGGCACTAAAGGCGTGCACCACCACACCCAGTGCTCAACTACCTTTCTTATACAGAACACTCCCATCTGCCTAGGGATGACATCTCTCACAGGGGGCTGGGCCCTCATACATCAATTAACAACCAAGAAAATACCCCACAGACATGCCAACAAGGCAATGTAATAGAGGAAGTTCCTCAGTTGAGGCTCCCTTGTCCTAGGTGACTCTAGTTTGTGTCAAGCTGACAAAAACTAACCAGCACAGCTGGTTTCCAAACCAGACTCAATCCTCTGGAAGCAATGTCTAACACCTCCTAAACCCTTTGCTATTTAGACTCTGAGAGTTAGGGTGATGATTAGGATGGTCCTGGGAGACAGGCGATTTCTCCTTTTCCTCTTGTTCTCCCTCCTGTGGAGAAGCAGCAGACCTAAAACAGCTTTAAGGGCAGTAAAAGTTGGCCCTCTTTGTTTGGCTGCAGACCTGGCCCAGAGATACCGGAGTAGAAAGTGTGAATAGCTGTGGCCAAGAGTTTGAATTATCAGAAAAGAAATTATCTGGGGTTGGAGAGATGGCTCAGCAGTTAAGAACACTGACTGTTCTTGCAAAAGACCCGGGTTCAAGTCCTGGCATTCAAATGGCAGCTAACAACTGTCTGTAACTCCAGTTCCAGGGGATCCAACAGCCTCTTCTGTCCTCTGCAGGCATTGCATGACACAGGTGCACTTACCTACATGCAGGCAATACACGCATACACATAAAATAAAAATAATAAATAAAATATTTTTTTTAAAAGAAATTATCCACCTATCCTGGAAGATTCTTGGAGGTACATGAGGTTGTGCACACAGATCAACATATAGGACTTCTTATTTGTGAAACAGGAGATAAAGGGATAAAACCTTTCCTGATGAAGGGCCCCTGCCAATGAGTTGTTGGTTATTTGTTTTTTGAGACATGGTCTCACTCAGTAGCACAAGCTTGCCTAGAACTCTCTATATAGTCCAGGCTGGCCCAGAACCTGCAGCAATCCTCCTACCTCAGCTTCCCAAGTGCCAGGATTGTAAGTGTCATCTATCATGCCCAACTTATTGCTGAGTCTTGATCTCTCCACCCAACATGTATTTCTAGATCTCTCTGATCATCTATTGAACTTAAGCTCACAGTGACATTTAAGTTTTTATTTATTTTAATTTTATGTGTATGAGTGTTTTACTTGTATGTAAGTGTATCATATCTTGTGTATGCAGTGACTGTGGAGACCGGAAGAGGGTGTCAGAGCCCCTGGAACTGGAGTTAAAGATGGCTGTTAGCTAGCATGCGGGGTCTGGGAACTGAACCCATGTTCTCTGCAAAAGCAGCCAGTGCTCTTTATCTCTGAGCCATTTCTCAGCGCCCCCCATACTTTTTAAATGTCTTTGCATGGCTCTTAGAACTGTGTAGAAATCTAGCCATGCTTGTTCTTCCTGAGCATGCTTGCATACTTATTTATATGCATTCTCTTCTGCAGTTCCCAGAGTGGCCCTGACATAGCAGGCCTCTGTGTGTACTTATAAAGCTGAGGTTTTTGTTTTTTTAGCACATGGCATTCTTGGGTTCCTGGGATAATACACACAGGGTATTTAGCATATGAACCTGTGATATACTGCTCTCTTGGTTTCCACTTCAAGGGAAGAGGCTTTGTTTTGGTTAGACTAGTGGTAAATCAGAAGTCCAGGCCAGTAGGTGGCTTTCCTAGCTGTGGCTGGGCTTCTCATTTTCATTTTATTTTTAAATTATTATTTTATGTGTGTGTGTGTGTGTGTAAGGGCGTGTGCACGCCACTGTGCACTTGTGGAGGTCACACAACTCTGTGGAACTGGTTCTCTCCTTCCACCTTTATGTGGGTTCCGGGGATCGAACTCTGGTCATCAGGCCTGCCCAGCAAAGCCTTAACCCACTAAGCCATGTGGCCAACTCCCAAAGCTACTTCCTAAAACCTGTAGCAGGACCGGCCACTTACTATTTTACATATAAGACCACACATAGACATCCAAACATGCTGCTGTGAGACGTTTCTACTCTGGAAGAAAGCTGAAGTGTAGTCATAGGCTCGAAGCATGTGAGGACATTCCCTACCCCTGCCCCCAACAAGAGGCAAACAGAACCAGCATGCATTACTTAAGTGGTAAAGGCAGCAGGTCAGAGGGCATGGCTGCTTCCCAGGCAGGTTCTGTGCACGTGGTCTCTGGGTCTCCCGGCTTCCCAGCATTGGCACTGGCACTGTTTCATTTGCTCCTCCTAGTTTGATTTGTTCTTGGAGCTGAGGGTAGAACCCAGGGTGTTATCAGATAACTTTGGAAAGCCTTGCTGACTTCCCAAGCTCTGTCTTCAAACACCAGCTCTGCAGCTCTCCCTCTGTGGGTGCCTGAGGACCTACCTGTTCTCAATCTCCTTGTCATACAAATCCCACCCAGTATCCAACAGTCCTTTGGGTCTAATGTTAGGCCCTGAACTGTGTATACACCAATACCTATTTGTTGAAAATTACGAATATCCAGATGACATAAAAGAAAAGCTTTAACAAGAGGGTTTGCAGTAAAGGGAAGGAGGAAATAAAGGTGGGGCTCTAAACATTTATTAACTTAGCCATTGAAGTTTACTGCCTTGTACTGCCCTGTAGGTTGAATCTTGTGGTTTGTTAAGGAAATAAAACTCACTTTGCTAAATTCAAAGGTAAAGAGATACAAGCAGCAGGCAAGGTCAGCTGAGAAGCTCAACCCCTTGGAATGGGGTAGACAGCTGGTCTGTCTTTGAACTCTCTTCCTCTTTCATTTTTTAAAAGACTACCACAGAACGAATAGGTTCAGCAGGAGTTAGTGTGTGTGTGGGGGGGGCGGGTCGGTGGCGGCAGCAGCATGGAGCTCTAGAGCCTGCTTCTTTAAATGTCCTTGAACACTAAGAAATTCCCAGGGGAAGGAGGCCTTTGAGGGCCAGAAAGTGGGGCTTGAGAACCAGAGAGCCAGCCTTGGCTTGGGGGAATCTGAGTGCTTGATAGCTCACACTGGCTTCTAGATACTTCATGGTTGATACTTTTCTTTGAAACTTCACAATCTACACCTTTGCATTTTATTTCATTTTTTCACTCAGGTTCCCTGAGCACAAAGCCATGCACTAGCCTCCTTACGTGTGTGTCCCACCGCCACTGCTCCAGGTTTAACATCCCCCCCCACACACACTCAAAATCAACGGACTAGAGGGTGTGAGGACTTGCCAGGAAGGACAGCGACATAGGCTCCACAAATGTTTGTCGAATGCATTCATGACAACCTTTTGAATGCCAAGTATGGGACGACCGTTTGGAAAGGTCTCAAAAGCTGGATAACTCAGGAGTTGACGTCATACACAGACTCCCTGACACGTTTTACCATGTCCATTCCCATGAACCACACCTGCATCATAAAAAGATACGTATAAAGGATCGGACAGTGTCGGACTGGCTCTGTTTAAATTTTACAAAGGTGTATATAGAATGTGTTGTGATAGGGAAGGAGAGATAACATTATCTCTTCGAGGGAGGAGCTGAAAACCCTAATCAAATCTGAACAAGGCTCCGGGGACACTCGGAGAAGCCCGCTGGGGAAATCCTAACACCTGCACCTGCCTCCTGCAAGTGAGTTTCTGCCCAGGCGCAGTCACCTCGCCCCCCCCCCCCCCCCCCCCCCCCCCGCCTTGCCCTAGCTTCCTCCGGGACCCTCAGCTCTCCAGAAGTCAGGCACAGCATTAAGAGGTGCAGGTGAGGCTTCCTCGCCAGGGACCAGCGTTTCCTACAGGTGGACAGGGTGGGCATACGAAGTCCCAGTCTTTGAAGGTTAGGTGAGGACCGGCCCTCTCGGGCGTCCCTCCCGGAGCTGCCCCCCCCCCCCCCCCCCCCCCCCCGCGCGCTCGGACTGGTCCCTTTCCCGCTGCGTCCCCGCGCGATAGCTCCGTCGTCCGCCCCGCGGAGCAGCTGCGCATCTCGGCGCGCCCCGGAGCCGAAGCAGCCAGTGCGCAGACTTTGACTTCTGCACCGAGTGCGTTTCCGGGGCTTCGCGGAGGCGCGGAAACCCTAAGGGGTCCCCGGGTGGGAGTGGAGCAGGGTCAGGGTTCCCAGGGGCAGGGGCGAGCGGGCAGGGGGCTGTGCGTCCCCACTCGAGCGAGCGCGGAACTCGGAATCGGCCGCGTCTACCCAAGGGCTCACGGAGCAGGGCGCGGTTGCTGCCCGCAGGGTGAGGCCTCGTTCCCGCCGGGGCCAGGGATCCACGCTCCGCCGACGCACGCGCGCGCGCGCGCCCGAGGGAGAGGGGCGGGGTCTGCCTGGGCGACGGGCCAATGGGAGGTGTCAGAACGCGAGGGGCAGGGCCTGTCTCAGTATCAGCCAATGGGCGTGGGTGGACCGCGCGGAGGCGGTGCCGGGGCGGGCGGCGGCGGCTAGAGCCGGCCGCAGACCGGAGCCCCGGCAGCCGAGGACGCATTGCCTGACGACGGCTCGCAGCCGCAGACGGAGCGGCCGCGCGGAGTACGCGCAGATGGGTAACCCCGGTCGGCGGCGACGCGGCGATCCTGGTTCGCGCCGGGTCCTGGAGGACCGCGGCTCCGAGGTGCGTGTCTGGGGGACGCCGGGTCGCGGGGACCGGCCGAGGCTGCGTGCGGAGGGAGCCCGCTGCAGGCGCGTCTCCAAGTTTCCCTCGGTGGGCAGGCGCGCCAGGCTGGACCTCTCCGGCGGCGCGGGGGACGCGCCCAACTTGGGGGCCCGCTCTCCGCCGGGCGCGCTCAGGCTCGCCGCGCCCGAGGCTCCTTTGTACGCGCGAGCCCGCGACCTCTCCGCGCTGCGCCCTGGGCGCACGGGGTCCCTGTCTGCACGGGTCGGCGACCACCGTCGCAGGACGTCCCCAGGAGCGCCCGCAGATTAATTTCTGCGTCGCCGCAAAACCCAGAGAATCAATTTCGGCTTCTCATCCGAGAGCCAGAGCCGAGAACAACTTGGCATCACTCCTCCGGGAGACGTTTGTCGTCATTAACCTGCTTTGGCTAAATTGATTCAGCCCCAGCCGGCTCCTGCCGGGGTAATGGGGGACTTCTAGTGCGCCGGCAAGAAATTGGGCTGAGCGATACGTGATTTTGGTCAAAACAGAATTGTAGGCATTTTGGATTCTGTTTAGAGTTTGACTTGGTTTGGAGTAGGATGGCTTTAAAAAAGAATAATAGAGAAACAACAAAAACCAACCCAGTTGGACTATAGAAAACAAGAATTCTTGGTTCTCGGTGGTTTGCTTAGTAAGTTCAAAATAGTCTTACAAATTTTTCTTTTGTCTGCAGTTTTCACTTCTACACTTTTAACACTAGATGGCTTTCTTATGACAGTCCTCTGCCCCTTTGAGCTGCTTGCTGCAGTCTAGGCTGTGATTTTTTTTTTTTTTTTAAACGTCTTAAATAGCAATGGAAGGAAATGGAAGGACGAAAGTATCCAAAACTGTTGCTTTGTTTGAAATTCCGTACTTCCCTGTAAGAATTAAACAAACCACTTGTTTTGCAGAGATGGAAAAGTGGACTTTGATCTCTAACACCTAAAGGTGAATGTCAGGAAGCGACCTGCAGTTCGTATGTTTAAGGATGTCTGTTTAATGTTGGCTTTATTTGAGGGGAATGCAGAGTTCTGGGGTGAGTTTGGAGATTGTGTTTAGATAAGATTTCCACTTGGGAGATGTGTACCCCTGGATTATTATCAAGCCTTAATTCACAGCGACAAAATAGTCACAGACCTGATCATTCATGGGAAAACAGTCTTTTTTTGAGTTTGGGGAGCTCATAGTGCTGCCTGTTCTAAGGGTTGACCTTCATTTGGGGAAGATCTGTAGTAGGAGAGCATCTGCCTGGGTCATACCTAGGGTTGTGTCAGGGACCTCTTCATTTCCTTCTCCTGAATGGTATTTAGTTTTTTTCTGTGCACAGCCCTGTACTGACTAGTACAATCCCCTCTAGTTAACTGATGCAGCAGTTGAACATTCTGCATTGTTAGTTATGTGTGTGTGTAGACAAACATTCTACCAACGGTATAGTGCCAGCCCCATTTATTATTATTTGAAGCAATCATCCCAATTATTATTACTGGTGTTGTTATTTTTATTAAGATGCTTGAGCTCACTGAGCTCAAATAGGCTTTGATCGTGCAATCCTCCTGCCTCAGCCCTTTGACAAGTATGCCCCACCCCACTCCACTTTTACTATACAACACAACCATGACAGTTAGTCCAACTTCCAGGTAGGCAGATTTATTTATTAGCTGGAGAAATGTCTTGGATTTCTCTTTATAGTTGTCATTTCTTGTGTGTCTTGCTCAGCTTAAAATATAACATGTTAAATTTGTGTGCTCTAAGTTAGACTGTAATCATTAATAGCTGAAAGGAGGGGGGAAAAACAACTCACTTGACCCGGCAGACATCTAGGATGTAGGGAATGCAATGAACAGGAATGGCTCTTAGTTCCCATGTTACCTAGTGATGGAGAGAAGTGAACTCAGATAAGAAGCCATTTGGTCCAGAGGATGGAGAGAGCAGTGCAGATCCGGTATGGGGGTGGAGCTTCTACTTCTGAGCACTGGGAACTGCACTATCTGGCTTCAGTGTGTATTTTCCCCAACACGGTTTTTATGTCTTAAAATATTACCCTTTCTACAGCACTTTTGTGAGCTGTGACTTTTAGTTTCATAGGGGAGTTACCAGAGCGTCTTGGTTTGGCATTTGTGATGCCGTTGGCAAAAATGTGTAATACATGCTTGGAAGTGTTCTGTTTGTTTTTCTTTTTTCCTCCCATTGAAGACTGGAAAGATGTTTGGAAGGGTTCCTTGATACCTGAGCTTAGTCAACACCTGTCCCCACCTTAGGAATCTTTTTAAAAACCTGAAGCAAAGGGATGGTTGATTAGACACTCCGAAAATTTCTTTCTGAAATTGAGGAAGTATTGGCTTGATGCCCTGAATGGCGATCATTTGGTAATTGAAACTGGTTTGAAAATGTTCCCAGGCAACTGAGAAGCTAGGTTTGCTGTGGACTTTGCACAGAACTGTGTGTTTATGGGGATCTCCTGCTAGTTGTTAAAGTCCAGGGTTAGTTTTAGAGATTGAAGAAGCATTGGCTGTTTGAACTTCTGTTCTGCTGCTGCTGCTGCTGCTGCTGCTGCTGCTGCTGCTGCTGGTGGTGGTGGTGGTTTTGTATTACAGATCTTTACAAAGACATGCTGAATTTTCAAGAAATTCAGACTGTTCTTGTTGGTAACTTGGAGAGCCAAGTCTTTTCTGTTTTGAACTTGACTGGAATATGAAGTCAAGCCCTGAAAAAACAGAGACTCGCCTTCTAGATTTTCCGCCTGTTTCGATGAACACGTTCCCTTTCTGGGTGAGTAGAAAGAATACCAGGTAAGGGAGTAAGGGGTGGGAACCTCAAGGGTGCTTGCTCTGTTAGGTCATAGATGGGTGTGGATAAAGTATTGCATGGTCCTTTTGACCCCGAAATTTTAGGTTTCTTTCTTTTCAAGAACTAAATTGTGTGTGTGTGTGTGTGTGTGTGTGTGTGTGTGTATGTGTGTATGCCATGTCATGTATGTGAAGATCAGAGGACAACTTGTAGGAGTCTGTTCTCTCCCTCCACTAAATGGGTTCTGGGATTGAACTCAGGCTTGGCATCAAGTATTACCTGATGAGCCATCTCTCTTGCCTGCTTGGTTTCTTTATTGTTTAAAATAAATGTATTATAGCAATAAAAGTGTCTGTCTGCCTGGGATGGTTTATCTTTTCCATGATTATGAGTTCTGCTGGATTCCATGTATTTTAAGTTTGTGTATAGTGAACCTCCTTGTATAGGTTTATAGCTTCTAGGTTTACCTTGAAATCAGTGACTCGAAAATTGCTTTTCTCTGCCAATTGCATTTAGCTGTGACCCCTTTTAAGGAGCAGTAACTGTGTGATAGGAATTTAAATGCCTCTCAACTTTAAGGGTAAATTATTTTGGTCTTCTGACCCTAACTCAAACTGTTCCCCAAGAGCAGCATGTGTTGTAGGGATTCAGATCTGATCTACTATGGGGGCTTCTCTTCTGAGAGACTTCCTTTTCCTATTTAGTGTAAGCTGTTCTTTGAGACTTGTTTCCTTTGCAGCATTGTGTAGAAAGCTGAGTGGTGGGAGGAAGATAGGCGGGGAGCTGAGTGTGATTGTCCCAGCGTCTCTCCACCACAAAGGACCTTGACAGCTATGCCTGCCTGCTTTAACACTGTTTCCATGCACCTATAAAATCTGAAAAACAAAACCTAGCCAGGTGTGGTGGTGCACCCCTGTGCATAAGTATATTAATTAAATCAAGGGTAGCCATCATTATCTATTATGAGTGCATTTAATTAAGATAACATTGAGCTGGGTGGCTGGGTGGCTGGGTGTGGTAGCTCACTTGTTTTCCAGCACTAGGGCGGCTGAGGCAGAAGGATTGCTGGGAGTTTGAGGGTAGTCTGGACTACAGAGTTGAGACCCTTTCTCAAAAACCCAAAGAAGAAAAAACACCCACCCCAAAAGATGTGCATTGGGGCAGTGTGTGTGTGTGTGTGTGTGTGTGTGTGTGTGTGTGTGTGTGTGTTTCTCTGACACTAAAGGAAGGTGATCCCTAACTGGAGGTACCTTGAGTGAGGTTACCCACCACTTGCTCATGCACCTACCTACCAGTAACACACCTTTTCCCTTTGCAGGGAACAGTGAGAATGTCACTAAGAGGAGGTTTGGAGATCTGGCACTGCTCACCCACCCTTTTCTTGTGCTTAGAATCTCCCATGTGACTTCTGACTGTACTGAGATCCCTAGGGCCTTAGCACAAACCAGATAAGTGTTCTACTACTGAGCTGCATTCTCTGCCAGCCTCTCTGTGGTTTCTTTTTTCTGAGACAAGTTCTCCCTGTAGCTCCAGTTGGCCTGGAACATGCAATGAGGCTGGCCTCGGTCTCATAGAGATCCTCCTGCCTCTGCCTCTTAAGTACTGGGATTAAAGGCATATACCACCATGCCTGGCTCATTCCTATGATTTCCAAAGGGGATCTTCCAGTAGTAACCCAGCAGGACCCTTGGAAGCAGGTGGGGGTGGTGGGATACAACTTTTTGATGGTTTCAGCACTAGAAGGGTTTATTTTTTTTTTATTATTATTTTTTAATCTTTTGGGGTATTGGAAATTGAACTCTGGATCTTACACATGATAGGCAAGTGCTCCACCACTGAATCATGTTGCTAGCCGCCTTTTTATTTTTTTATTTAAGACAAGACTAAGTTGCCCAGGCTGGCCTTTAACTTGAGATCTTCCTGCCTCAGCCTCCTGAGTAGCTGGGAAGACAGACCTGTATCATCAAGCCTGGTATTAGAAAGGTTTTTTTTTTTTTTTTTTAAAAATTTATTTATTACTTTTATTTTATGTGTATGTGTGTATTGTCTGCATGTATGTAAGTGCATCCATGTCTTGCAGTGCCTGCAGAGGTCAGAAGAGAGTGTTGCAGTTCCTGGAACTGGAGTTAGGGATGGTTGTTAACTGCCATGTAAGTGCTGGGAATTGAACCTAGGTCTTTGGCAAGAGC